GATCAGGAACACCGCAATGGCTATTGAAACAGCGTAATTGTTATTTATATTATTTTGTTATTATATTCATTATAAAGCTACTAGGAAGAGGGGGGGGGGGTATATTAGATTACATGTACATTTGCCGGTATCTTTAGTAAGCGTGTTCCTGATACTTGAATAATTGAACTCAGTAGAAAATTGAAGCATGGATTTATGACGCCACCTAGGTTTACCAACAGTAATGAGTTTCAGGGAGAAAATAAAAATTAAAAAAATGCGAGAATAAATTATTGAATATATTATGTTAAACATTATTAGTGGCTTAACGTTTTTATTACTAAAATGGGTAACCCCTGAAGTACATTCCGCCGTCTCAAAATTGTTTTTTCTGCCTTTGACACAAACTTTGGACAACAAAATTTAACATACGAAGACGACAGATCCTGTTATTGAGTTTGAACCTTTGATATAAGCTTTATTTGGCATCAGAACCATTATTAAAATTCTAAATGTTCCCTGAAGTGGACACAACAAATGTGATGTATAAAATAAACAAACTTGGGAGTTGTATGTAATTGAAATGTTAGGGTAGTTTGATTTCTACTTTAGGAATTATAAGAACTTTTATAGCACAACGTGCTGGTATATTAAGAGTAACACTCTAGAATTTTGCCCTGATGATGGTAACACGTTTATTGAAATTAGTTGGCTGTAAGTTATATTAAACAATTTTACTTGTTATTGCGCCAAAAAACGTCGTTTTTTTTGTAATTGTTCCTATTAATATTTTAGGAATTATAAGAACTTTTAAGGTTAACTGCCTCTCCACAACTGGTTGCATACAGTTAAACGTAGTAGGAGTTGAGATGTTGTGGGTGTAAGCACTCAACTCCATACCTCTAATTGATTTTTCATGCTTGTTGGCTGGTTTAACATCAGCGTTTGGATTTTGTCTGGTAGATGGGATATCCCCAACGAGCCTCCAAATGGCGCAGTGGAATGTCTGCGGACTTACAATGCTAGAATCCGGGTTTCGATACCGGCGGTGGGCAGAGCAGACATACTGCGGTGCTACTGAGAGGCGCTGGATAGTCACTTTGAAAAGATACACTTTAATCCATTTGAATTTGAATTTTGTTCAAGTAAAATTTAATGTATTTCAAAATAAAGCAAATATTAAATGAAAAATCTATTCTTTTTTTTTTTCTATATTTTGGTGTAGAGAAGAAATTTCAAGAAAACAAAATATTGAACTTAAAACATCCCGATTTATAACAAACAAAAAAAAACGATCCCGAGAGCTAGAAATGTTGCTTCAGTTACCTCCTTAACTAGAACTTTTTGCTAGATATAATACAATAAAACCAGTTTGGTCTGTTGTAATTACTGTTTTTTTTTTCAGATTGTTGATGGTTTTCTGAGCATGCTTAGCAGGGATGCTAAACCTATCTGTCTTTCTACTCACGAGTTCAGATTTTGGGACAGTTGTTGTTTGTTATTAAGCACAAAGCTACACAAAGGGATATCTGTGCTTTGTCCACCACGGGTATCGAAACCCGGTTTCTAGTAATATAATACTTACACCACTGCCCACTTCTGACACCACTACTGTAATGTGTTCACTCGTTGGCAGAAATACCACTGTGCCACTGTGGAACTTTTGGGACAGTAAAGTAAGGGACAGTTTTCTTAGATTTTCGAAACGCTCTTCCAAAATTCAACAGAAAATGTTTCTTAGTCATGGTAAGAGTGTCCTTATAAGTTACCTGGACAGGATTATTTTGTTTCGGAGGAATCTCTTTTATATTTACTTTAATCGAAACGTTCGGCTTCGGATGTGTTGATTTAACTTTATCCGTGATTTCTGGTGGATTTTTTGTTAACATTGTGTCCTCTCTTGCTACTTTCAAAGGTACCTCATTGAGACCTTCTGTCATTTCGTGGCAACGTGTGATTGGTTATTAATGAATTGGACAAGGATTGGAGACTACATAGTTTTTTCGGAACGATTTGAAGCACTGTATCTAAACTTGAATCCGTTGGGTTCTTAATGTTTGTGCATATCAAGTTGTAATGCTCAGCTTGATTGAAATAATTTTGTGTGGGGTATTTTTGTGGACTAATATTTATCACCAACTGGAGAAAGTTTCGAGTCGAACATTAATACAACAAAGAGAAATAAGTATTAGGGCCATTCCATCTAAAACGGAAACAAAGGGCCGGTTCCTGCTATTAAAACTGTTCCTTTCTCTTTGTCAGTCAGTCATCAGACTGAAGCTTTAATGGCGTTTTATATCCACACGCAGAAGAAGATATTAAAAATACCCACTTGGTCCATTTTGTTTGCTGCAGAGTTACGCATGTCTTTTCTTCTTTTTTTTTTTTTTTTTTTTGGAGGTTTGGCGCTTGGTTGAACGCCAAGATCTGCATGTCTACATTCAGTGAGGATGAGGGTATGGAAATGGCGGGTTCTGATGAGAACACTGCGTTGTATACGAATCAAGACACATATGAGGTCCTCGGGTAGCGAAGATGTTGTATATCCAAGAGGTATTATTTGGTGGTTAAAGATATTGTTAAAATTTTCTAATAAATCTCTCAACCAGGATGTACTCAAGGATAGATGATATTGGGTGGTCACCTCTTGCGAAGGAAAGCCAGTCATCTCTTTTGCTCCAGTAAAAAAAAATGAGAGGGTTATAAGCAAGTAAATTAAACTTTTCTTATTAACCGAAGCCATTTGAAATAAAGTTTATGTTTGGACATATTAGTTGACTTTCTGTAACCTAGTTGCAACAAATAGTATACCAACAATATTACCAATAATACTATTGTGTTTATACAATACTGTCACTGGTTTAAATAGCTTGCATTCTTGAAAAATAAAGTGAGTTTCTATTTGTAACAATATCTGTTTTATTAGATGGGTCTTACATTTCTGAGGTTTATAGAATTTGTAGTGGGACGTAGACATTTTGGCAATAAATTTGGAGAAAACAAGCAAAAACGAGTTCACCTTCAAGGTAATAATAATAATATATATTTTTTTATTTCAGCCAATGTTTCTTTTACTACCAGCCCTGATGACGCCGCAAGAGAGAAAAGTTGTCTGAAACAAAACAAAATTATTATCTGGAGGGTAAGTGTTTGTTTGTTTTGAATTTCGCGCAAAGCTACACGAAGGCTATCTGCGCTAGCCGTCCCTAATTTAGCAGTGTAAGACTAGAGGGAAGATTGTTTTTTATTATCTAACTTTGTTGCTAAAATTTCTGAGTTTTGTCTGTAGTACTGGAATACTAAGCCGATATTTCAGTTAATGAGAA